AGTAATATTTTAACATTTTGGTAAGGTTCTGAGCATAAACAAACAAGAATCCCCAGAGGAATGTCATCCATCACTGAGGAATGCCAGAGTAAAATTAGTTTTTCCTGGTATTAGACACATGCGTTTAGGTGTGCTGAGATGCACACCTGGTTCCCATAGATGAGCAGCAGTGTTGGGATGGACACTTTATAGAAATAGGCAATCCAGGGCCAGGGATTTAGCTTAGTGGCATAAGTGCCTGCCTGGCAAGCATGAGGTCATGAGTTCAATTCCTGATACAAAAAAAAAAAAAAAAAAAAAAAAAGCAGTCCACTGGGTGTGGCCCTGGAACTCTAAAGTCCACCACAACAAATTTCCAGGACAAGAGATTAAGAAGTTAGAATATTTAAAAAAGAGCTAATATTGATAATCTGTGGGTGATAAAGAAGTTCCCAGGGCTGGGGATATGGCGCAGCAGTAGAACACACCCTGGACTTCATCCCTAGGACCCCCTAAAAAACAAAGTAAAACAAAAGAGTGAGAGGCAAAGAATAAGGGACTAGGTTAGGGAAACAGTCTAGTGTAAATAATGACACTAAGAACAGACAAACAGTGTGGAAGGAACTGTTGTAACTACTTAAGAGGCCAAGATGAATGGAAAATGGCAGCTAAACATTAAATGAATGCAAAAAACCTGGAATTGATGGTATAAAGTGTGACTGTAGTTTTGAAATCATAGTCAGTACCTTACCATAGTGCTGGTGAACCTTCTAGAAATGTGCCCAAACCCCAGCCCAAAACCCACTTACTGTTTTGATTTCAAAGTGCTAACACTACCATTAAACCTAAATACTAAAGTTTTAGTTTAGAAAAAAATAACTCAGACATTCACATCTTTAATCTTAAAAAGAAAAACAACATTTGTGCCATAAATTCACCACCCTTGCCTTATAGTCTTTTTCTGTAATTTGCACATTCAAAAAGAGTCAGGATTAGTGTCTAAGATTTAATTCTGTAGCACTTTGAGGACTGTGTGGATTGATAGCTGGTGGGCCACTTGTAACAACTGAACTGAATCAGCATGGTGCTGGGTATGGAGGGCTCACCTGAGGATTGTTGCCAACAACATAAAAAGGAGACCCAGAGAGAAAAATTGTTGTCAGTGGTTGTCCTGGAGGAGCTTTGTTGAGCTGCTTTCCTGGTATGAACTTGGCTATTATTGTCAGAGGAGCTCCAGGACCTTGTTGTCGCTGAGAATGGCTGAGTTCCCTTTAGGGGAGCTCAGGTCCTTACTGCGATCATTGCCTCCTGGCTCTGGAGGGGAAGATAGTGTGGTGTGCTGTCCAATCTCCGGGAGAAGCTCATCACACTGGCTTCCTGAGGTGTTTGCATCGTTGGGGACCTTGGGATCTTGTTGCTGAGGTGTTTGCATCGTTGGGGACCTTGGGATCTTGTTGCTGAGGATGACTGTGGTACTTTTTTGGGACAGTTCTGGTCTCTACTTGGGGCATTGCTTTCTGGCTCCAATGCAGACCCCTCAGCTGCTTGCACAGCTCCTTCATCCTGCTGGCACAGACTTTCTGGCTAACACCACTGACCTTTGGGCCTTCCCACACAGATCCATGAAACGGGCTTGCTTGTTCCTACAGCTGGTCTTGGTGCTCATGATTTGTGCCAGCCTTGCCTCCTTGTCACTTGTGTCTGAGCATACTTCTCTGAAACGATGATAATGACCATATCACAATTTCTAGTCATTCATTAGACAGCGAGTTCATCTTTTCTAGCACTTAGGCTCCGCTCTGGTGACTGGCATAGTACGTAACATGAAGAAGCAGGAGGGCTTAAAGGTTGAGTATGAAGCCAAGAATCCCCCTATGCAGTGCAGAGTTTGAATCTGCCACTTAATTACCATGTAACCTTAAGGTTTACAGTAAACCCAAGTTTACTGTGTGCTATTTTCTTTTTTTTTTCTTTTTTTTTAATTTAAGGAGAAAAAGAAAAAACATTAAAAGGGTACAAGTTATACAGAATTTCAGAAAAAATAAACAATAGGAAATCACTAGTTAATAGATTACATATTGTTATCTTAGAAATAGTTGTTCAAGTTACAAAATTAAAGCATATAAAGTGGACTTTCAAACAGATGCACTATTTTCTTTAACCTGTAAAATAGATATAGCAAAGTGTTGATGTAGTAAATGACAAAAAAGTTCCAGGTAAATAGTACCAAATATAATCCCTAGTTAGCAGCCTTGAGTATCTGTTGACTGCATGGTGAGGGTCTAATCTGTGCAGAGCACTTTGCCATATTTTAAAATACATATCATTTAATCCTTAATACAACATTATGAAATGGATACTATAATTACCTACACTTTACAGGAGACAAAATAGGTTACATAACTTCCCCGCCCAAGATCATGTAACTCAGGAAATGGTCCAGAGGAGGATTTAACCATGGCCTGTGCTGCTGCCCCCTCACCACTCACACAAGTCTCACAGCCTTCTGTGCGTCTGCAACGGCGAGCAGAAACACCAAGATGACACCCAGGATTTTCAGACAGATTTATTTATGTCAATGGGCGCTGATCAGGATCATCTCCAGAGTATCAGCCCTGAACTCTGGTGGTCTAGGGCTTACATGGGATGAGCAAGCAGGAAGTGCAGAGGCAGAATGGCATGTCAGTTGGCGATTGGTTTATACAGTGTGCATCAGAGTGACCAGCTGTTTCTAAGAGACAGAAGCAACAGGAACAGGAACTATTACCTGAGCAACTAAGAAGTGTCCTGGGGGGAGCGCATTTTTGTTATATCCCCACAGATTACAGAGTGTGGCTTACCTTGCTGAACAGGCTACATCTAAGTTTGGTTCTACCCTTCAGGTGTATTCACTCTGCTTCTTAGGAATGTATTCTTCAAGAGAAGACATAGGCCTGATGGAGCTGTGTGCACAGTTTTTTGTGATGATAAATACATATATAAGTAAATACTGTTGTTTCTCATGAGCTTTTGCAGGACCGCTGTTGATAGCTGCATCAAATGAAAGGGAGTGGTACTGGATAATGCCTTCTTATCTCCTGTTTATGACTTTATTGTCTACAGTGTGAAAGTCCTGAAGAGCATATAAAAACTGCTCATATACTTTCCTAAAAGATTAAACAAACATGAACATACATTCAATTCTGAATTTAGAAGATTCTCATTTAGTCTGGGAATTGAGAATACTAGACTGAAGTACTCTGGTTATTTGTTTCTATTTTTCCTCTCTCCCCTTTCTCCTTTCCTTCCTCTTTCCTTCTGTCTTTGTTGTCTTGTAATATGTATTTGGGTTTTTTGTTTTGGTTTGGGGTTTTTTTTTTTTTTTTTTTTTTTTTTGGTACTGGGGATTGAACTCTTGAGCTGGTGCTCACTTAGGCAGGCACTTAAGCTACTGAGCTAAATTCTCCACCCTATAATATTTATTTGTTATAATTTAGAGATCTAAGAGATTTAAGGCACTTTGGGCCTTGTCTTCATGGATCTTGCCTTTTAGTTGGAGCAGACACACATGCAGCGAAACAGAATCATTTTAGATGGTAACAATACCTGGCGTTAAGAGCTCCTGTGATGAGGGCATTGGGACATGGGAACCTGTGCAGGTGTGCTGAGGAGCCACGAGGGTGGGAGGGGGACCTTTGGGAAGGGCACGTGTGCACTTCTTTCCACAGGGCACACACATGAGTTACTTATGGTTAGTCCCTGGTCTGACAGTCCCATGTAGACACAGTGTCTGGCTTTTCCTTTGTTACCTAGCCACCTACAATCAAAGTGACTGGCAACAGTAAGCTCTTACAGTGGCGAAAACAATACAGCACTGGCCATTCTCAGAGGTGATGTGTTTCTGTTTTCCTCTTTCTGCTTCATAGGCTGAAATGGAGCCTAGAATCATAGAAGCAATAGTTTTTCTATACCAGTAAAAGATTAGCTCCTTAATACACCCTAATAGCCTTTAGGGGTGATGCCAAAAAGAAAACCAAATGCAAGAATGCAGAGACAAAGCCGAAAGGACAATTTCTGATTGTAACTGCGGGTTCTGTTTCCCATCACCGAGCAAGGTGAGAAAGTTTTTCAGTGTTTGTGGGAACAGCTTCCACAGCCTTAACGAGTGACCTCACCCTCAATGCCTAGCCAGGTGCACGACCCCACTGCAAAAACATGGGACAGTTTTTGCCTGAAAGAAACCAGAAGTGTGGAATGGTGTTTTCGGGTGGCAGTTGAGATTCTTTTGCCTGTAATTAACAGCTCTTAACCCTCTGCCTTGCCCATTCCTTTTTCAGGCTGTTGAAGCTCAAATCCGAAGTTTTGGACAGACACCTTCTCAGCTGCTCATAGAGCCCCATCCTCCCCGAGGTTCTGCCATGCAGGCGGTGAGTGCTGTGTTCATTCTCCCCTCTGTGGTCTTTCTTGTGGTCCGTGCTTCCTTGATGCCCCTAGAGCCTGTCACTGCGCTTGGCTCCTCACACACCTGGGGCCTGTTTGGGCGGTGCCGCTAACTGCTTGGTAACCACAGCTGGCTGGTGCTCTTCCATCCTCTGCGCCTGAGAGCTGAGCAGCCCTGCTGTGTGCTGCCATTTCAGCAGGCTGTTTGTTTTGTGTGATGTCCTCCCTGGAGGACAAAGGACCAGAGATAGGTTGATGTGTTTTCTGATTTGGTCCTTTGAGTTTCTAGATTGGTTTGCCATTGGGTTTATTATTCATTTATTCTTCACGTCTCAGGTTTTTTTTCATTTTGGGAATCTTAAAACTAATTCTGAAATGTACACAGGAAGTAACTCCATAATCACTTCATTATTTTTTTTCAGTATTGGGGATTGAACTCAGGACTTTCACACTGAGCTCTATCCTAGCCCGTTTTGTATTTTTTATTCTGAAGCAAGATCTCACTAAGCCCCCAGGCTGAAGTTAAATTTGTGATCCTCCTCCCTCAGCTTCCCAGGTTGCTGGGATTACAGGGTATGTACTATGCCCTGCTAATTAAGTAATTTTGATAATGTTTCTGAAGTTTACTGGCCTGGGGTTGCGAAGGGAGATGGCAGTTGGCCTGCCAAAGCTGGGAGGCTTAGAGTAATGAATATTTTATTTCTCTGGTTCTGAGAGTTTGGTGGCATTTCTTCTCGCCTGTCACCTTGGCTTGGATGCTGCCAAGAGTGGCCCAGGTGACTGCGCTGCTCTCTGTCCTCGGGGACATGGGATGGGTTGTGCACTCCCGCAGTGAAATGGTCACCCAGGAGAATAAAGGCTGAACCGGCAGGACATCCTGAGGCTCGTGGAACTCACATCATTAATGCCAGGTTCTGTTGGCCACTGCAAGTCAGCAGCCAGCCTAGAATCAGGAATAGGAAAACAGACAGAGCTGTAAACAAATGTGACTGTTCTGCCTTCATAGCCTCTGAAACTTGGGGGTAAGGGGTTCACTGAGAAAAACAAATGGCACAGTAACGAATTGAATTACATTATAATGAAAATAATTTTAAAAACTGTACATACTACTTTTTTCTTGCATTATCCTTCATAAAGCAGCTTGATCATTACTATTTTAGATTAAGAAGAGTAAATATAAAGTGCTTGCATAAATATTATAAACAATTTAAGTTCAAATCCCTTGTTGTGGCTTGGAGACAGCAGAATTGCAACAGATACCATAGTAAGGAGGCCAGAGCAGCAGCCAGGAGGGCAAGGGATAAAATAAAGCCCTGGCTCCCTCTGGTCTCTTCTCTTTTTTTCCACCTCTTCCAATCTCACCTTCTCTTTTTGTTTTTTTCCCCTCCTTGTCATCTTTTCTTTTTACAGGGTTTTTCCCTTTCTTTTTCTATTAATATGAGTTGACCACAATAATAAACTACAAACATTTTAAAAATTATTCATATTCCCTTTTTTCTTGAGTGTTTTTAAAACTCAGATTTAAATGAGCTTCAAGGGTTACTTTAGTGGTCAGAAGACGACACAGAGAGCCAACATTTAGCAAGAACAATGGAAGATAATGCCATAAAAACAGTAAGGATGATTTATGCTTGGGGCTGGGAATTACTTTTAGTAATGGCTTGTCAGCGAGGCTCAGGCTGCCTGGGTGCAGGCTAATAGAAGCCCCTGCGCTGCTCAGATGACTGGCCGCCTGGGTCACTGCACAGCCAGGGCTGCTGGGGCCTTGCCCGGTGCATGCCCAGCCTCCCTGTGGCAGAAGGTTATGGGCTCACCCAGGCGGGCCTGCTTTCCTGTCCCTTAGTGAGATCGCACACCCTCGCATGAGGATGAGAGACCCTTTCTCATGGCCTTACTCTCTGGATGGAATACCTAAACTCCTTTCAAATGTATAAGTTTGATTTTCATTTTGGACATACATGATTGTGTAAGAAAAGCATGTCCGAAATAAACCCCAGTTTCTCTTCCGCTGGGAAAACAGAATGAGATGTGCTTAGCAGTTTTTTAGCTGTGCCTCCGACTTGGCTAGCCAAGGCACTGAGAGTTAGGAGAGGGTTTCTCATATCCCAGTTTTCCCAGTTGCTTGGCTTGTGTGCAGCTGCTGCAGGGGTGGTGTGGCCCTGGCATCCTGCTGGTGCAGCTCATTCCTGCTTGTTACCCCAGGTGATTCAGTGCCTGGGGTGGGGGCACTTCCTGATGAGCACTCTGCCTCTTGCCACAGGAGGCACTCTGGCCAGGGGGGCAAGCAGGGACAGCTGCAGGAAGAAGGCAGGGCCTGGGCCAGCCAGTGCGACTGCTGAGGGTAGCCTGTCCTGACTATGTGGCTAGGATTTTTTTTTTTTTTTTTAGGGAAAAACATTGTAATTATTCAGTTTGCACGTAATTATACTTACAATATGAACTGTTACGCTAGAAATATTTATAAACTTCCTTTCAGGGAGACTTTATAGTGGTGTTGCATTCTGATTTTTCTCAAGAGTTTATAAATTGATCTGAGTAAATATTGTTGTAAAACTATGTAATTGAAAAGTGAGGCTTTGTACCCTAAAGTGATTTATCTGCCTTTTCTCAGGACTTCTTTAAAACCAGCTTGGAAGATACCTTGTTTATTGAGCCATTTCATTTTTTTATTTTTACCTAATTTCACAGAATTCCTTAAAAATGCACATAAATGGGTGCTTCGTATGTCAAAAGCTGCTTGATATGAAGAGTTTTCAAAAATCAAAAGCCCAGATTTATTGTTTTTAGTAACATTCAGATAAGTTCCCCCATCAGCTTTTGGTGCACACTTCCACACACATACATGTGAATAGAACAGAAATTAAAGCCACCTCGTGCTGCGTTAAGTGCGTGAACCATAATATACACCAGGTGTAGTAATTAGCAGGCACATGAAAGCTGCCTATTTGTCTGGTTTTGCTGCTGTTGCTGTATCCCCCTGTGTTTTCACACCATCAGATATTTGGATTTAATTGAGGCCACATCAGATGAGGCATTACTGACACCTTTAATTGAATGAGCATCCAGGGAGGATTAACTCATAATATTGATTGGCTTTTAGCCACTGGCTCAGAAGGGTGTCGGGGTAGCTTATTAGTTGCCTTTATTTACACCTTTATGCAAAGAGTGCAAATAGGAATTCTTAGTGCAATATGTTTTTCTAAGTACTCTTAATAACTTTTTAAAAAGGACTGATAATAAAAATGCAAATGTATTTAATTTTTTATTAGCAGTTCTGAATAAATACGTGTTAAATATATGTGCCTACACACTTACATTTACCTGGTGCTTTGAAATATGGCAATAGGAAAGCAGCCAGAGTATTTCATCAAAGTGTTTCAATTCTGAATGATACTAATCAGCTATTAGAAAATAGACATGGAAAGAGAGAATCGCTGAAAACGTACAGTGCAATTACTGCGTGATAGCATACTACCACAAAGTAAAAATAAAGCCAATAAATCAGAGCAGTGTTGTATATATCTTGGATTATGACATAAGGCTTGGAGGAATGTTCTGAATCCTTAGTAGTCTTCAAGATTTATTTTGCCGCTGGTTATTAGAGAAGACAGTATTTTGTTTAACATTTTCAATTACCTTCTACTTTTCAAAGAACAAATAAGTCTTAAGCATCAGTTTGTTTACTTAGTGGGAGGAGGGGCATCTAGTTATTCCACTTTTAGTACTGAAAGCAGTGGTATTTGCATTACAATAGGCAGTGTTTAGGACTTTGTACCCTATATAAACACTTGTTTTTACAAGTACATTTAATTAAGCATTGCCTTGAAACACCTTTATAATTAAGTTTGTATACTGTATTCATGCATTATTTGTTGGCCATAATAATATATGTGTGCTAACTACTGTTTATAAATGTATTTGTTTTAGGTATCATTTTAGTTGTCAAAATCTTTGTGCTAGCTCAAGACTACTTTTGATGATCTTTGGAAATTCCCTTGGCTTGCTTTTATGCCTATTATGGTTTTTTTTTTGTTTGTTTGGTTGGTTTTTTTACCAGAAAGACTGTTGTTGTGTAACATTGTATAGCAACTGGAATGGTTTAATGCCATCCTCATTACTTTGTCTGTTTAAATCAAGTCATTCTGTTAGTGTTTCATGGCAGTGGTGGGGAAAGTACAGATTTCCTAGGTGTTTTTGTTAACATGTTCTGCTTCAATTACTGAAAATTTCAGATAGTGCCATGTGAAAAAACAAGCAAATCATAATCACGATTTCTGCAAGCCTTTCTGTGCACCATACTTCAGCTTGCAACCTTTGTTAATAAGGTCTTCCTCTTCTTTTCCTGCACCCTCTCTCCTCGTCTCCTTTGTCTTCCTCTTGTACATTTGGGTCTTGTCTTGCCCACTCAACAGTATCTCCTCCTGCAGAGCCCCTTGATGTTCACAGACCAAGCGCAGCAGGATGTTATCATGGTCCTAAAGTTTCCCTCCAACTCCCCGGTCACCCATGTGGCGGCCAACACCCAGCCGGGCCTGGCAGCTCCTGCTGTGATCACCGTCACTGCAAATAGACTGTTTGCCGTGAACAAGTGGCACAACCTTCCTGGTAAGTCAAGAAATGTCATTCTGAGGCCTCAACCTTCTGAACACTGAAGGGAGGCTTTGTAATACCCACTAGAATATATCTAAATCCTTTTAGCTTTTAACTTGCAAGCATTAGTGTGAATCAAAGCTCTGACTAGTTTGGAAGGTTCAAGATGTGCCTCCTGAGATGTGTAGCACAAACGTTAGAACATTCTTTGGCATCTAGTGGTTTGTCTGAATCCTTGGAGATAGATATAGTTTCTAATATTTACTATACTGACACTTGTATTTGTAAATTGTTATGAACACTCTATCAGAGGTCCTCATTTTTCTAGCACTTTGGATTGTCTAAAGTCTGTCAGAAACTTACCTTTTTGTACACAACATGGTAGGATTTGTTGTGGAAGTGACATCACACAGCCCAAGTGCAGTCAGCTTGCTGTATCTTCTGCTCCTCCATGTAGCACAGAATGGCCATACTCGCCTGAAGTAACCATTAGACCCACAAGCCAGTCAAGCTGGAAGAGATGTTAGGATTTATGTACTGTAGCCCACTTTTTTTTTTAAACTAGTGAAGATACTGGACCAGAGGAACTTTCTTCATTCAGCAGCACACATGCACAATCTGTGACAGAGGTCAAACCCAAATTTTCTCATCTAGATTTTAAGCCCACCCTTCAGATTTTTATCTTCCATTAGAACAGGAATGTTGAGATCCAGATTTAGCTTTTTTTTTTTTTTTGCCCACTAGTTTAAAAAATCTTTTTAAAGCAGAAAATCCTTTAAAGAAAATCTTGGTAACAACTCAATTGCCCATCAACCAAGGAATGGATAAAAAAGATGTAGTCTTTTTATAAGTAGAATCTAAACAGCCATCAAAAGGATAAACTGAAATGTAAAGGTAAAGGTAAATGGATCTAATGAGTCCATATTCAGAAATGAAATAAATCAGACTCATATTTGTAAGCATCATATTTTCTCAATGTGAGAAGCTGAAAGAATAAGAAAGATATTATAAATGTAATTAATTCTGGAAATAATGCATGTTACTTTCCAAAGTTTTTCTTCCTTTTCAAAATTATTTTAATGATTTTCAGTCTTTTGGATTTTCATATCAATTTTAGAAAAACCCACTACTTAAAAAAATTTTTTTAAGGAAAATCTTTTAAAGTCCTCGAGATTGTAGACTTTCCCCCAACCCACTGTTACAGGTAGGAAGCTTTAAAATACAGATTTTAAGGCTGTATAAAGCACTACAAATTAGGATACCTAAAATTACTGTAGAAGTTCACATTCTTCAACCAAATTGAATGCAAGGATTTTAGAATGGAACAAAAGACATTGAAATAAAAGCTTGGTATGTGAGTTAAGTTCAGTAAAGTACTTACCACAAAGAATCTGTAGTTGTATCAGAACTAATGAAATGTAACCATTTTCCTGGAGCTAGGGGAAGAAATGCCAATATTTGGTTACAGAACAGACTTAAGTGAAAAGTGAAGGCAGTAAAAACCAAAGCAGATATTTAATATCTCTATTATTATGTCATTTTACTTCTTTTTCTTCCAGTGAATTTACTTTATAGAAGTGAATGTGGGTGCAGGTGGCATACTAGTATTTGAGTACTAAAGATTATACTTTGAGAAATGTGACTTTTTTGTTTCTCTGATTACTCCTTGTTAGAAGAACATGCTGGTTGTGGTCAGGTTCTGTCTGTCACATGCAGCAGAGCGTTAATCTACTCTGACAGTTACCCTTAGAGTTCAGCAAATGCTCCAGTGTGTGGTCGCAGGACCACCACCTCTGATGCTTATCCTTGGGGACTATTTGTGGCAGGGCTGAGAGCCTCCTCATTTCAAATTCTCTGCCGTCTGTGTCCCCGCCTCTAACTTCTAGAAGAGTTGGCGCTGCAAGAGCCATAGGGCACCTAGGTCTCCACCTGATGCCCAGTAGTGAGGACTAAGCTCCTGACATTGAGTCAGCGTACGTCCCTGACTCAAAAGCTTGCTTGCCTCCGTACTGTACGGGGATGGCGAACCTTTTAGAGCTTTCATGGGTACCAGCAACCTGCTGTGACACATGTGCCAGAGGTTTGCCACCACTGGCTTTGTATTTGGTGCTCAGGCATTCTCTTCTCCATATCCAGCTTTTCCCTGAATGTATCAAGTGACTGTAGGTGGGTTCCTCTGATGGACCACCCTTTGGGTGCATCCAGCTCCTGGCCCAAGCTCCCCTTTCCATGAGGTAAGAGCCAAGAATCTGCATGGTTCTGCAGATTCTTTGCCTGTGATTCTCAGTGAGCCCTCACTGTGTCTGGGCCTGTGTTCTTAGTGGTGTTTGCCTGACCTTTACTGAAGACCACCTTTACAGAGTGACACGGCAGCCCCTGCCCAGATATGCAGAGTAGTAACATGGTGATTCACTGCAGGCAGTTATCTTTCCAGAGTGTAATCTCCAGCTCTGAACTATACCTGCTCCTAAAAACATTAAAATAGTAAGTGTCCATTCTATTAAACCTACCCTCATTCAGGTGTTTTTGGGAATCTGATCTTTTATTCTATGTCATGCAACTTTTACTGGTCAGTATGCCTTGATTTAAAACAAACATTAAAAATCTCTAAATTCTTTACTAAATAACAACTCACATTACATTTTTTGTTTATTTTTTGTCTTTTGCAATACTGAGGCTTGAACTCATAGCCTTCACACTAAGCCATATCTTCTGTTCTTTAAAGTTTTTTTTTGTATTGAGACAGGGTGTCACTACATCACTAATTTAGTCAGGCTGGGCTCAAACATGATTCTCCTATCTCATCCTCCTACTACCACGCCTGGCTGCACTAATTTTTTTTTTTTTTTTTTTTAGATATTTTTCTCCCCTGTGGATTTGTTATTTCCACAGCTAGCTCCTTTCATTTTGGGTAGTCTGTGTTCTGATTTAGAAAAGAAATAGTAATTTTGAATTGAGGTTGTACCTCAATGATAGAGCTTTGCCTAGCATGTGCAATGCCCTGGGTTCCACCAAAACAAAACAAAACAAAAAAATCCACTTTTTCCTCCTTTTTCATTCAAAGAACTATGAAGAGCCTTCTAAATAAAATGTCAGTAACTAATGTTCATAGAGTATTTTCTACAGATTTCTAAGAATCATTTTAATCATCTCATATACTAATTCAATCCCCTCAACAACTTAAGAATGGAGGTTCTATATTTAGGTTAAATCATATTAAATAGCTTTTTTTAATAGATTGGAATGGTCAAGTATTGGCAATTTTATATGGTCCTGTTTAACCCACTCAGTCTACTGTACAGCTCGGGAAACAGACCCACAGAGGCTACATAACCTGCCCAAAGTCACACAGCATTCCATGGCAGGAGTAGGGTTGGAGACCTAACTCCCTCAGCTGCCTTCACTGGCGATATGATTCTGAAGGTTCAGTGGTCCTAGATTCTGGGAGAGGGAGGCAGTTCTCGCAACCTTAGTGCTGACACTGGTAGCACTGGAAATAAACAACATCATCCAGTAGGCCAGAGGCTCTTAAAGATGTTTTCCCTCATCAAGCATCTTGTGATTTCTTTTCCAGCAGAAAAATAATCAGCAAAGACAACAACTACCTTTAGTTGAAAAAAAGGAGAGAATTCTTATGACTCTAATTACTTTCTCATACATACGGACTTAAAATTTTTAGTGTGAACATTGTACTTAGATATTTATCAGTATTAATGATCTCCTGAATAGCCTTGGAAAGCTGGCATTTACTAACTAGGGAACTTATGACATAATAAGCTTTTATGTACTCTAATGAGCTCATTGAGATGTTCCCCATTTTTATATTCAGACTCACAAAGATAGAAAGATTTCCCCAAATCTGACAGCATTGTGCAGAGCTCATTTAATATCACCCAGGCGTGTTGTAGACTTGATGTTCATGAGGCTACAGCAGGGAGATACTGACCAGGGTGAATGGCTGAGGGAAGAGAGTTTGGAAAAAGGCTCAGAATTTAGCTTTCAGAACTGTGAAGCTGACAAGGTCATTATTCTAAACCCTTCCTTTTGGACTTCATGATTTGCCTATGGATGTTGCATAGCTAATCAGTGACACTTCCTCTCTGCCTGAGATCCTACCTTTCACAGGAAATAGCCTACAAAACCTCTTTTCAATTATAAAATAGGTACGCCTGAATCTTTAAAGCCATTTTGAGAATGGAACAAACTATTCTTAGTATGGATTGATTTTTCTAACTCATTTGCTTCTGAGAGTATTTTTAAATGGAAACCATAGAAATATTAAATATTAATAAAACTTTTTTTAAACCCTCAATCCAATCTTTAAGAAAATATTTCAGCCAAATGCATTTAACTAAAACATTTATCTGCGGATAGCTTTATTTTTATGCAAACTTCCAATTGATTGATTTTAATGTGATGGATGAAACATTAAATGTTCTCTGACTTAGAGGTTTCCGTTTCTCCATCATAAATTGACGTTTTTGTTGATCCTTTGTGCTGCAGCATTCAAAACTGCCTTTTTAGGAAGTAACGAAAAAATAGTATTTGCTACAGTCAGCAGATGGTTGTCACATTTTGTTTTCAGCACGCTTTACCACTTAATTTTGTTTTGTGCAGCATCAGAGGCTGCCAGTCAAGCATCTGCTATAGCTTATGGCCCAGGACTGGAGCCACCACCAATGGCACATGTTCAGAACAGCACTAATCTAAAATAAATGTTTAATAAGTCAGCCATAAAAGCACCTGGATTTTTGTTCTCTAAATTTCAGAAAACTGCATGAGAGATTTGGAGATTGAAAACAATTCTACCTAAGATTTGCCTTGCTTATTTTTATGTAGCTAAGTATATGAAAACTAATGCTCTTTTCTTTTCTTCTTTTTTTTTTTTTATCTTTTGTGAATTCCAGCTCATCAAGGTGCTGTACAAGACCAGCCATACCAGCTGCCAGTGGAAATCGATCCTCTCATAGGTCTGTCACTTCTTTCTCTCTTTGCGATTCATTAAGCTCTGTATGGTGGCCCTGAAGTGTAGATTACAGTTGTTTTTCACTTGCTGGTTGCTGGGAATGGAATTTTCCTGATAAACCATTTGCATGCAAATTGGAATGCAATGAGCTGTGGCTATGCTGGTATTTCATCAACTCCCCCTCGTTGGTTTGCCTAATTTGAACAGGCCTAGGACGCGTGTCACTGAAAATTAATATGGATGCTGTAATAATGTGTGATTGAGAATGCGCATGAAGTACTGTCAGGATAATATTGGATCTTTTCATCACTCAGACTTGTTGATGAGCAGGAGCGAGGCACATTATGATGAATTGGTGCACTGGTAATGTGATGGAGCTCCTTTGCTAGGGAAATTTTCATAATAACAGTGGGGTTCTCAGCAACACTGTGTTGTGAAAAATAAAACTGCAGTGCCAGGGTTTCATCATTAAAGGAGATCAATCCTTTCTTCCTGGACCCTCCACTCAGACTGAGGGGATTAATGTGCAATTGCAGAGCGGTTTCTAAGTTGAAATATATTGCCCAGCCAATGGTAGTTTAAGATATTTGTATTCATTTTCCTAGGGTTCTACAACCCAATAAATTGCCATTGGAGGTTAAATTTGTTCAGGAGGAAATAACAGAAGACCAGAAAGAGCCACTGGGAGG